AAAAGGGGACATAACAACGGACACTGAAAAATACAGAGAATCATCAGGTCATACTTTGAAAACCTGTACTTCACAAAATTCAAAATTTTAAAGTAAATGGACAATTTTCTGGATAAATATCACTTGCCAAAATTAAATCAAGAACAGATAAGCAATGTAAATAGACCTATAACCCCTAAGGAATTAGAAACAGTCATCAAAAGTCTCCCAACCAAAAAAAGCACAGGTCCAGATGCCCTCAGTGCAGAATTCTTCCAGAAATTCAAAGAACAGCTTATATCAATTCTCCTCAAAGTATTCCCCACAATAGAAGCAGAAGGGTCTTTGCCAAACTCTTTTTACAAGGCTTCAATAACCTTGTTACCCAAGACACAACTAAGAAAGAGAACTTCAGACCAATCTCCCTCATGAACATTGATGCAAAAATACTCAATAAAATACTGGCAAATCCAATCCAAGAACATATCAGAAAACCCATCCACCATGATCAATTACGTTTCATTCCAGGGATGCAGGGATGGTTCAACATATGAAAGTCGATCGATGTAAATCACCATATAAATAAACTGAAAAAGAAAAACCACATGATCATCTCACTAGATGCTGAAAAAGCCTTTAACAAAATCCAACACCCCTTCATGATAAAAAATCTTGGAGAGGTCAGGGATAACAGGAGCATACATAAACATAATAAAAGCAATATACAGCAAACCAACAGCCAACATCAAACTAAATAGACAGAAACTCAACACAATTCCTCTAAAATCAGGAACAAGACAAGGCTGTTATACTCTCTCCATACCTCTTCAATATTGTACTTGAAGTTCTAGCCAGAGCAATAAGACAACAAAAGGACATCGAGGGGATACAAATTGGACAGGAAGAGGTTAAACTTTCACTATTTGCAGATGACATGATAGTTTATATTAGTGACAGAAAAAAACTACCAGGGAACTCCTACAGCTGATAAATACTTTCAGCAAAGTGGCAAGATACAAGATCAACTCAAGAAAATCAGTAGCCCTACTATATACAGATGATAAAAGGGCTGAGAAAGAAATCAGAGAAACATCACCCTTTACAATTGCTACAAACAACATAAAATACCTTGGAGTAACACTACCCAAACAAGTAAAAAACCTGTATTGCAAGAACTTTGAGTCTTTAAAGAAAGAAATTAAAGAAGACACCAGAAAATGAAAAGATCTCCCATGCTTTTGGATAGGTAGAATCAACATAGTAAAAATGGTAATCTTTCCAAAAGCAATCTACAGATTCAATGCAATCCCCATTAAAATTCCAGCACAATTCTTCACAGACCTTGAAAAAAATAATTCTCAACTTTATATGGGAAAACAAAAGATCCAGGAGAACCAAAAATACCCTGTTCAGCAAAGCAACATCCAGAGACATCACCATCCTCGACTTCAAGCTCTATTATAGAGCGATAGTCCTGAAAACATCTTGGTATTGGCACAAAAATAGACAGGTAAACCAATGGAACTGAATTGAGCACTCCAATATTAACCCATACATGTATGAATACCTGATCTTTGACAAAGAAGCTAAAATTATACAGTGGAAAAAAGAAAGTTTCTTCAACAAATGGTGCTGACATAACTGGATGCTGGCATGTAGAAGACTGCAGATCGAACCATGTCTATCACCATGCACAAAACTTAAGTCCAAATAGATCAAAGACCTCAACATAAATCCAGCCACACTGAACCTCTTAGAAGAGAAAGTGGGAGGTATCCTTGAACAAATTGGTACAGGTGAACACTTCCTGAACTTAACAACAATAGCGAAGACAATTAATAAATGGAACCTCCTGAAACTGAGAAGCTTCTGTAAGGCAAAGGACAGTCAACAAGACAAGAAGGCAACCCACAGAATGGGAAAAGATATTCATTAATCCCACATCTGACAGAGGGCTGATCTCCAAAATCTACAAAGAACTCAAGAAGCAAGTCTCCAAAGCACCAAAGGATCCAATTAAAAAGTGGTCTACTGAATTAAATAGAGAATTCTCAATAGAGGAGACTAAAATGTCTGAGAGACAATTAAGAAAGTGCTCAACATCACTAGCAATCAGGTAAATGCAAATCAAAACAACTCTGAGATACCATCTTACTCCCGTCAGAATGGCTAAAATCAAAAACACCAATGACAGTTTATGTTAGAGAAGGTGTGGAGAAAGGGGAACACTCCTCCACTGCTGGTGGGAGTACCAACTCATAAAGCCACTATGGAAATCAGTATGGAGATTCCTCAGGAAAATGGGAATCAGTCTACCACAAGATCCAGCAATTCCATTCTTAGGCATATACCCAAAAGAGGCACATTCATACAAGGACATCTGTTCCACTATGTTTATAGCAGCACTATTTGTAATAGCCAGAACCTGTAAGCAACCTAGATGCACCTCAACTGAAGAGTGGATAGAGAAAATGTGGTACATTTACACAATGGAGTACTATTCAGCAGAAAAAAAAATGGAATCTTGAAATTTGCAGGCAAATGGATGGCACTAGAAGAAACCATCCTGAGTGAGGTAACCCAGCCACAAAAAGAGAAACATGGTATGTACTCACTCATATATGGATTTTAGACATGGATCAAGGGAGTGCCAGCCTACAATCCTAACTGCCAGAGAGGTTCTGGGAAACAGAACCTTCATCCAGTGATGGATGGAAGCAGAGGCAGACACTCACAGCTAAACACTGAACTGAACTCCTGGAACCCAGTGTCAGAGAGGGAAGACTGATGAACAAAGGGGTCAAGACTGGGCTGGTTTAACCCACAGAAACAGCTGACCTGAACAAGTGGGAGCTCTTGGACCCCAGACTGATGGCTGAGAGGCCAGCATGGGACTGATCCAGACTCCCTAAATGTGGGTGTCAGTGAGGAGGCCTAGGCAATCTATGGGTATTTATCAGTATTTATCCTTGCATACAAATAGACTTTGGGTGCCTATCCCACAATGAGCTTCCAAGAGCTTGCGGACTTAGGGTTCCATCACAGCAATAGACAGCGAGCTAAGATAGATGCACACGAAGACTGGACTAACATCTTTATCTTAAGGCCTCATGCAGCTTCAAGTACATCCCTGAAGGCACGGTCTCCAGACATAGTCACAGCGACAGATAGATATCCCACGTATGAAGTTTGAGGGAGTGCAATTCAGTCCTTAACAAAGTTCTTAGATACAAACCAAACATGAGACCCATAAATGGAAAAGGGACAAACTGTACATCATCAAAACTGTGGTTGTGATTTAAATAGTTTGAAAAAATAAAAAAGCAAGCCATAAATTGGGACAAGAACATTGCAACTCACACAAAGAACTGAAGAAGAATATACAATGACTGCTAGGGATTTGAAAGTAAATGCATCCAAACTTAAAGTGAATGAATGATTTGAACCAATGTTTGCATGAAAGGTGCATCACTAAGTAATGAACCTCTGGAAGATGTCACACATTTAGAATGAAAGCCGTAGCAGCTGCTTCCCACACCCCATGGCCACATCAAATACTCATTGTCACGAGAAAAGACTGGAATGCTCAAATATTACCCATATGAAATATAAATAATTGATGTGGCCATAGATGGTGTGGAAAACTACATGGTAGCTTCTAAATATCTATTTTATTGCTAAGAGTCTAACCAAAGGAAAGGAAAATACCTGTGCACACATGAATATTCATAAACATTTTTTCACAAAAGTCAATATCTGAAAATGAATCAAAAATGTCTACCAACTGGTTAATGGATATGGTACTCCATGTTAATTTTAAGAAAGCAATAACCTAATAATTGTTACAAACAGATAAATCTAATTAAAATAAGTGTGATCACCAGTGGTTCCTGAGGTCTGGGGACAGAAAGAGAGGTGAAACACAGCTGGAAAAGGGGGAGCTATTTAGAACCAGAGAAGCATTCCACAATAGGATGTGCCATGTTTACAAGCTGGATATTCATGAAGAAGGAGTCCATTACCATGGCTGGTTTCTACTGCATGAAAACTGTGCTTTAGTAAACTTCAGTGTAATCACACATGTCGCCCTCCTATGTGGAACCTAGATCCTATATATGATATGAAAGTAGAGGGAACTGTGTGGAAGAAGTATAATAGTGGGAGGGGAAAGAGACAGGAGCAGAAACGGATAACCTTGCACAATCAACAATTGCTAATTAAAAGATGTTTAGTCGATCTTGTGGAGAGATGGCTCAGCCAGTAAAATGCCTGCCTTCCTTGCAAGAATGAACCCCAGAACATTGCCACACGCTTATGATCTCAGTGCTGGGAAAGTGAGGACAGACTCCCTAGGGCTCACCGGCCAGCTCCAGGTTGGGGTATGGGAGGCGCCTGTCTCACCAAACAAGGTGGACAGCTCCCAAGGAGCAATGCCAGATATCAGCCTCTAGACTCAAGTTCATGCACCTTTGTGCACACATGCACTCACTCAGACACGCAGAGATTTGTTACCTATAGGCTGGGGATAATTTAAGCGTTGATTTAAAACTCCTAAAGACACTTAGCATAGCAAAATGCCAACTCCAATAATCAGTGAATAAAATAAATGATTTGCTTTCTAAAGTGTTAGCATAAAAATTCCCCTTTGAGAACTATGGGTACAGGAATGAGGTGTAAGGGGAAAGGCTTTTGTTAAGAAAGTGTGACCAAATCAGCTATTTGGGAGAATATTATTCTCCTCCTGATCTCCAGACATCTCCTTAATGTCAAATGAAACACTTAACTTTTCTGTCATTTTGTATATGTGAGCTGCTAAAAAGAACATAAAGAATTTTAAAAAATGTTTTTTTAAGCAGACCATTCTAATTTTTATGTTTGCTTTTACCATAAAGACTTTACATTCCTTATCAGTAGTAATGTTAGAGACATACATAATACCACCATACAATTTGTGTGTTCCATAGCTATGGGATACAAATAAATTTTATGTATAGTTTATATAATGAATTGATGTTTCTTACTTCTGAACTTGTACTCTCTTCAATTTTCTCTGGAACTATGATTTGTACAGATGAACTTTGAGAATCTGCAGAGAGAAAAAAAAAACAGTAAGCTTGCCTTTAATTTGACTAAACAATTAGTTTACTTAGCCAATATGAGTGGCTCATCACTGTGTGTTCACCTCATGAGTACAAGCATTAAAACTGGAATTTGCACTCGGGAGGCAGAGGCAGGCGGATCTCTGTGAGTTCGAGGCCAGCCTGGTCTACAGAGCGAGTTCCAGGACAGACTCCAAAGCCACAGAGAAACCCTGTCTCGAAAAACCAAAAAAAAAAAAAAAAATACTGGAATTTTCCAGAGAACATTAGTGGCCCCCTATGCAAACTTGATAGATTAACTCATGAAGTGTTCCATATTAAAAACAAAACACTGAAAACATTTAATTTGGAAAACAGACAAAATGGTCATCAAAGACACAAGGAGGTATTCAACATACTCAGAACATGTTCACAACAAGAACACAGAGACAAAAATAAACTAATCAAAGATAAATTAAAGAAAACCTTGCTGACATAAAAGATTCTTAAACAATAGACTAGGAAGTACATAGCCTGTTGGGAATAATGCTCAGGAATGAATCAAAGGTGAACCTTAGTCTAATGACATTGTTGAGCTTTTAAAATCAAAAATCAAATGCGAATAAAAGTAGAAGAGCATCACACATCACACTTGACACACCTGGGAAATATGAAGAGCCAATGAGAAAATGAGCTCTTAAGAGTGAACCCTGGGGTTCAAGATAGTGATGGAAACCCACAGAGACAGCTGACCTGAGCCTGTGGGAGCTCATGGACTCTAGATCCACAGCTGACAAGCCTGCATGGGACCTAACAAGGACCCCTGCATGTGGGCAACAGTTGCATAGTTTGGTTTGCTTAAGGGGCAATGGACCAGGATCTATTCCTGGTGCATGAGCTGGCTTTTTTGGAACACTAACCTTATGATGGGATGCCTTGATGCAGGGGTGGAGGGGTTGTCTTGCCTCAACTTAATGTGCCAGGCTTTGTTGACTCCCCACATGGGAGGCCTTACCCTTTCTGAGGAGTGGATGAAGATGGATTGGGGGGGATGGTGGGGAGAGAGCAGGAGGAGGGGAAGGATGGAGAGTAAGTTAGTATGTAAAAATAAAAAATTTTAAATGATAAAAAAAAGATTGACCCCTAGGCAATTCTGTGGGCCATTTTCTTGACTAACAATTGACGTCAGTGGGTCAAGCCCACAATGGGGGGCCCCACTTCTGGGGAGTTGGTACTGAGTTGCAGCAAAAGTAAGCTGAATGCGCTGTGAGAGCAACCATTAGGCAGCAGCTTTTCCTCCATGGCCTCTGCTTCCGTCCAGCCACTGAGCTCCTGCAGTGAGATCCTGCCTAGGCTTCCACGGTGATGGACTGCAATATGTAACAGGAAGATGAAATCAATCTTTTCTGCCCCAAGTTGCTTTGGCCATGGTGTTTATCGCGGCACTGGGAAGCACACTACGTCAAACATAAAGGGAGTGATGCAGCCTGGCTCGGGTATTCAATATTAAAACATTCCATTTAAATTAATAAATTGGAAACCCAAGAAATTTATATCAAATAACACTGTCATTCAACTACCAGAGAAAAGGTAGATATTTATAAACGAATTCCCCAGAAAATAACCCTCATGTACCCATCACAAAAGACAGGCATATCTCTCCCAATAACTGTATCTACACTGTACTACAAAGATTTTAAAGAAGACACAAAGAGGGAAAACTCAGTGATTAAGAGCACAGGCTGCTCTTCCAGAGGACCTGGGTTCAATTTCCAGCACCCACAAGGCAACTCACAACTGCCTATAGCTCCAGGGTATCAGATGCCCTCATATAGACATACATTCAGACAAAATACCAATGTGCATAGCATAAAATAAAAATGATTATTTTTTACATTAAAAAAAGACACAAAGAAACAGCTCAACAAACTTACAGAGAATTAAAGAGAACAAGTTCCTGAGTGATTAAAAAAAAAAAGCATGAACATAAGACTGGTGGAAATGAAGAAGACGATCCCAGATTTGAAAACAGAATCAATAAAGAGATAGAAATATTGAAGAGAGGGATGGAGAGATGGCTCAGATGTTAAGAGGTCCTGAGTTCAATTCCCAGCAACCACAGGATGGCTCACAACCATCTATAATGAGATCTGGTGCCCTCTTCTGGCCTGCAGGCATATGTGCAGGCAGAACACTGTATGCATAAAAAATAAATCTACTGACACTCACATTTGGGGGGTCCAGATCAGTCCCATGCTGGCCTCCCCACTGTCGGTCTGGGGTCCAAGAGCACTCCCCTGTTCAGATCAGCTGTCTCTGCTGGTTTTGCCAGCCCATTCTTTGCCAATTTGCTCATCACTCCTCTCTCTCTGTCACTGGGTTCCTTGGGTTCAATTCAGTGATTAATTGTGTGTTTGCCTCTGCTTCCATCAGTCACAGGATGAAGGCTCCCGGATGGTTATAGACATCAAGTTCATTATCAGGAATGGGCATTCGAGGTGGTCCCTCCACTATTGCTTAGCTGGCCAATTGGTGTTATACCTTTAGATCACTCGAGGTCACTCTATGTGAGTGTCAGTGAGAAGGCCTGGGCAACCTATGGGGCCCTGAGCTGTGGATAAGTGTCTATCCCTGGTATACAAACTGTCTTCATGTGCCTATAGCACAAAGAGAGATGCTCTCTCAGCCTGGACTCTTAGGGGAGTGCCTGGACCCTACCAACAGTAAAATGACAGACTCTAGATATCCCCTATGTGGAAGGATTTGGCAATAGGGTGGGAGGGAGGGGGGAAGGGGAGTGCGGGAGGATGGGAAGGAGAGGGAAGTGGGATTGACATGTAAAACAAGCTATTTAAAATTAAAATAAAAAAAACATGAAGGAGACCAAATTAAAAAAAAATAAAATAAATCTAAAAAAAAACCAAAATAAAAAAGAAATATTGAAGAGAACACAAGCTGAAATGAAGATGGAGTTGAAAACCCAGTAACTGATCTGGAAAACAAAAGGGAAAGCCTTTTGAGTAGAATGAACCCAGAAGATAGAATATCGGGACTCAAAGATAAAAAATTTAAACAAAGACAGGTAAAGAACATGCAGAAAATGTGTGACAATATCAAAAGACCAAACCTTTGCTTTAGTCCTCAATGAGGGAGAAGAATCCCAAGCCAATCTTCAACAAAATCATAGAAAAAAATGTTTCCAAACTAAGAGAACACACACTGTTAGAATTCAGGCATCTGTACTGGCCTGTCCTTGGGGTCCTGACAGGACACGCCCTCAGCTGCAGCCACTAAGAACATCACCTGTGCACATTCACTATGTTCCCTTTTAAAAGAGCCCTGCCCACCTCCCATCTTTCTTTCCTTCTTTCTTTCTTTCTTTCTTTCTTTCTTTCTTTCTTTCTTTCTTACTTTCTTTCCCTCTGTCTGTCTGTCCACCCCTTCTCTGTCCCTTCTTCCTCTCTCCTCTCTCCTGCTGCTCCTGTCCCCAGGGTTCAGTCTTCCCCACTCCCCTTTCCCTTTTTTATGATCCTTTTCCCTAATTTAAAAAAAAATCTTCTGCTTGAACCCTGTCACATGGCATCTTTCTCTTGCAAGATGCTTTTCTTAAAATATGACGCACACCCATACAGATACAAGAAACACATAGAACTTCAAATACACAAGACTAGGAAAGAAACTCTGCATGGTATGTCAACTTAAACCACTAAGTACACAAATCAATGAGAGTATATTGAAAGCTGTAGACAAAACACAAGTCACATATAAAGGAAAACTCATAATAATAGCAATTGATTTCTCAATGGAAAATTCAAAAGCTAGAAGAGGCTGGAACAAAGCATCACACTGCAAATCCGAAAGAAAAAAAAACAAAAAACAAAAACACAACAGCCAACCTAGATTAATATGCCCACCAAAATTATCTGCCAGTTGAAGGAGAAAGAAAAGCTTTCCATGATACAAATGACCTTAAAAACATAACCAACAGACCAAACTTAAAGAAAATTCAGGAAACAATATCTCAGGTTAAAGAGAGGAATGAGTATAGCCAAGAGACCACAGGAAGAAAAGGAAGCTATAATTATTGGAACACAAATTTTCACTGAGAAAATAAACACCACTACCAAAAATCAACATCACAGTGGCTGCAATCAACACACAACTTTCAAAGCAAGTTTAAATATCAATGGCGTCAATCAAATTCTCCTGTCAAAAGACACTACACTGTGCCAGGCGTGGTGGTGCATGCCTTTAATCCCAGCACTTAGGAGACAGAGGCAAGTGGATCTCTGTGGGTTCCAGGCCAGACACTGGTAGAAAAAGATATCATTTCCTCCCTCCTAGTAATTCAGCAGTTCCCGGGAAAGTTGCACTTTGAATTGGCAGAGATGACCTGGGCTTTTCAAATCTCTGGTTCTAACAGCTTTCTTACAATTCACTACTGGTGGTACAAAGAATAACAACCCCTCCCAAAGATATCCAGGTCTTGGTGTAGCATGAATCCATGAAAGTCTGGTAAAGGTTCTCAAGAATGTATTTAGGTGTAAGACAGGGTAAACACTCACTGATACAGAACATGTTAGATGCCCCTGCTGATCCAGCTGTTCTGCCCAGGAGTGGAGGGCACCAACAGTAAGCAGCCTGCTCCAATCTCACTACCCAAGAGAGAGAGAACAAGCAAAAGAGCCAGAGACCCTCTCCTCAGCTTATAAATTGTCACACAGGCAGACAAAGACAACGCCCTAGGGTTGGCTGCCCCAAAAGTCATTGGCTAAATGGATGGAAATCCCACATCTTGATCCTCAGAACCTATGCAGGCTCTTTGGCAAAACAGAAGTAAGGTTGCTATTTCCTGGCCTTAAAATGGGGTAATTACCTTGGCTTATCTCCATGGACTCAACAGGATCTCAAAGGTAGAGGGAGGAAACGGCAGAGAGAAGCAGAGAACCAGCAATGTGAAAAAGACTCAGGCAATGTCATTGACTTTTGCAGTTGAAGAAAGGGGCCA